GAACACAAACGCAACCAACCCCAATTGAGGTGACGACCCGTAATACAGGAGGCCACCAACAGGCGACGGCCAGTAGGCCAAGGCAGCGAAAGAAGAAAAAAATCGATCGGCCCAAGGCCAACTAATGCGGCAGTCTATTCAAAAAAAGTGCTGATCGATTTTTTCACTTGACGCTTTGACAATGGAGAGCAGCCCCAGCTCTTCGAAACGTCAGCCAGAAATGTCCCCCGATCCGGTGAGCAATTCATTCTCCTCAGATTTTGTGTTATTCGTTGGCTTATTCAGAACATAATCAAGTAAAACTTTTACATATTCCGTGCAAAATCTGCCTAGTCGCATCTAAAATGCTGCCTAGCAGCGTGATCTGCATAATTTGGAAGGGGGATCCTCACGAATGACAGAACTGAAAGCACTCCTCCCCTAGAAAACATCGTTCAGACCGATTTTCATCGGCTTGTTCGGTAGCAGATTTATAACAAGGCGTTAATCGTCCATGAACGGGCTACATGTAATAGCATTTGCAATGCCCATACGCCTGGACTTTAAGGGGTAGTTTAATCCGGCGTGAAAGTGAGGACGCTTACGAACTTATAAGCCCGTCTATGTGTAGTCATTGCCATCTTGCTCGATTTGCAGTCTGAAAATGTCAGGTAGCAGCAGCACACATTGCAGCCATTGCGCAAAAATCTGTTCTGTTTACGTCGTTTAATAAAGTGACTTGCTGTCTGTATTTTCCCGTTTCTCTCTGTCTCCGCCCTCATTCCTCAGACTAACTGCCTTGCCTGTGCAACTTAAGTGACTTCGCCCGTTACGTTTCTTGAATCTCCGCCACTACTCGCCTTTAGATTTCCACCAAACACTCTGATGGTTAATTATGGTTCTCTGAAAATCTGGACTATCAAAGAAGGCCAAAACATCTAGGATACGCCTCTGCTAGTCGTAGCAGGCCATCAGCCGGCGAAATAATCGATCAGCTGATTTATGGCGACATAAACAGCACTTCTGAAAAAGTGCTTGAACAAGCTTTTAAACTTATTGGGGTAATAAGTTCGGAAACTGAGGA